AACGGATAAAGAATTAAATTAATTCTCTTCTTCCATTTACCAGAAATTTATTTAATAGATTTTTCTTCAAAATAATTGTTTGTTGAATAGAATAATTGTTGGATAGATTAAATAGGTTATGTTATATCCTATATCTCATATTGCAGGTTTATATTTAGTTATTATTGTTTATTTCTTGTTCTTTAAAGGAGGTTAGGTTTTAAATTAGCAAAGGTCGAATCTCATTCACATAGTGAGATTGGTTTTTTAATTCTTTGGAGAATTAGAAAACGGATAAAGAATTAAATTAATTCTCTTCTTCCGTTTACTAGAAATTCATTTAATAGATTTTTCTTCAAAATAATTGCTTGTTGAATTTGTTATTTGGCTTTCCAAATTGGTTGGAAATATCTCAACTATTAATTCTATTTTCCGTGCGTGCATGTGTGCGTATCTACTAAATTAACTTTCAGATAATATAAAAAATCGGCGAATCCATAGAAGTAGTCATCACGCTTTTTCATAATAGTCTTAATATGTGTCTATTTACCAGAATAATGATAATTGCAATGTACTGCGTTCAAATTACCAAAGAATCTTAAGTTCTTTAATAAAATTGCAATATTTATAGCATCTAGATTGCTCTTAAGAGTCTTTTACGATTCGTGTTTATTATACTGATTTCTAGTAACTTTTATAATCAGCCATGAAGAAATTTTTATTGCAATATTATTATCCAATGTAATTTACTTTTGGATTAGTGTTAATTATGTAAACATACATTTTTAATTGCTCTTAATTACAATCTCTTTCTATTGAATATATCACTTGATCAAAAACTTAAATGAAACTCCAAAGTTACATGGTCCAGTACGTGATGCAACGAGCTGATTCATTATGCAGCGGAAGAGAAAAACATAACTATGTGAAAGCTGCTAGCTAATTCCGAGGAAAACTTTCAGATTTGCAGATTTATTTCCCCAGGCAATTTGAAGTTATTGCGGGATCATAACATAATTCCAGCTCTTTAATGGCATAACTGCATTGCACCGTTTATCTATGATAACAACATTCTCCCCTAATTAATTTTTATATTTATAGTAATCTTCTCTTACAAATTGTATCAATTTATTTAATTCTCCTTAATTGTATCATTTTTCCACCTAATCCTATTCTTTAATTTGAAACAAGTCAAAATTATTCGCAACTTTGTTAAAAAAAAATTATTCATTAAGTGTACGAGTTATTTCAAATTTGTTTCCTCTTTCAGCTATTTTCAATTACGATCGCGAATTAGAGGATTTAATACTTCTACTGTTTTCAAACTTATACTCTCCTTTCTCTTTCCAAATGCTTTTATTTAGAATTAGAATCGATAGATTCTTATTGTCGTGAATAAATTGTAAATATTTATGCAAATGCGTATTTTTATAGAAAATAGGAAATAATGTGGGACTTGGATAAAATGTTCTTTTATTTTTAAGATTAAATAATTACATACCATTTATTTACTTGATTTCTATTGGTGGGGAGTCACCAATTAACCGTGACTAGTATAAAAAGATCATTATAATTTATTACAATTTAAGCTTAAATAACCAAAATTGCATATATTATAACATATTTCCAATATATTTACTGTATATTTTGCATATGACAATACACCTCTCCATATGTTCACATATCTATTATATTTCCATATACATATGCGCATATCATCTAAATACATAAATTCAAACCTTTACTCAAATTATATTTTCCTATTTTCTCCATAGATATCCGTTCAGACAAGAAATTTTCCAATATACGATAAAAAGAAAAGATACATACAGAAAAATCACATGATAAAAATTTCAAATGTTATTTAACATTAACTATCAACGAACATCAGGAGTTATTTACTGACACTCGTCCACAGAGAGTCGAAAACCTGCTCATATAACCTCTCTGTGATACCTGCACCTACTATTATCTGAAATTCAACCTACAAACTTCTAAAACTACCAAACAATCCACCCTCGAAAACCACAAACCACTCGTCGTTCCAGTCCCTTCGATATAACCGCTTGGTACACCGAATTCATCGCAATTTTCCAGGTGCAACGACTCCGACACGCACACAACTCGTCGTCGGCGAAGCTAGAACTTCGCGTTTGCGCATAGGGTTCCCAGCACGCGTCACACGTCGTGCGCGGTGCACACCGCGCATAACTGCATCTAAGGTGCGTTGGTCTGATCACCCCGCTGTCCCCCCCACCTCCGGGTGTCCCGTGTTCCAGCTTCCAGCGAGTCGAGCAACAGGATTGGCGGTGGCGCGCATACGTGGACGGGACGCGCTATTTGCCCGGCAGAAACGATCGAAAAGTAGGTCAACGGCTGGCTGAATGCCTGCCTCGGTTGCCTGGCTCGCTCGACTGCCTGTTGCGTCTCAGCGGAGCCGCTTTCTCTTCTCTTGCGGCGCAACGACACCGTCGCAGGAATTCTAACGCTTACGTATTCCACCTCCCCCTTCTGCACGTCTTCTTCCTCGTCGTCTGTTATTTACGGTTTCTTCGCTGCCGGAGCTGGCCGGTTACCGGCTGCTTACCAGCCCCATCGAATCTACCGCCACGTTTCGGACGGTCATGGGTTAGGTTGGTTAATTAAGAAAGGAATGCTGCTGCGTGGACGTGTAACTTCGCGCAGCGTTGCTGGTCGGCCTTGATAAGGTAGCACGTTCAACGGCGCGTGCGTGAAGTTTAAGGTTTCTGGCGGAGCCTTGAAAGCGAGACGAAAAGACACGTTGCGGCGTTTAACGAGAGATGGAAGTGCTATCGGGCTGGCTTAGAGATGTAGCTGCGCGTATGTACGCGTTGCACATTTGTGGTTAGGTTTTGGGGAAAGAAATTTTCCGCGTTGCTTTTGTTCGTGGGGTATGGTATTCTGATCGCGTTTGAAATAATCCTCACTTTAATGGCGTGGAAAATATTTACAGGAGGAAAGTGATGGAGATAGTCGAAATTTTGTGCAGGCGTAGTTCTACCGTGTAATAAACTTGGCGGTATTATACAGGGTCGTACACCTATCATGTGCACTTCTATAACCTCCAAAATATGGCGTTGCATGAAAACATGTTGTATACCAAAGTTGCATGGTCTCAAGGTGTATACTATGTTTTGCATTAATTTTCTTTATAGATAAAAGTGTTTCAGAGATTTGAAAGTCATCTTTATTTTTTTAAATGGAATACTATGTTCCTTATAAAATAATATGGAAAAATGTCGAATTTTGAGTAAGTATTGACTTTCATTAGCTCTAAATCTAGTAACTAAGGAATAGAGATTCAATCATATCACAGATTTTCGTAGAACAACGAGATATTTATGTGACAATGTTTATATATAGTTACGATTTTTATTATTAATATTACAATATATTATATTTTAATTAAATTTTCTAGGAATTTTCAAGAAAAGAGGAAGAAAATTTTCAAGAAATAAAGTGAAATTACTCGTTAACTTTTACATTTAGTGCTAATAGGGGTCAATACTGTTTCACTCAGAATTCGATATTCTTTCATATTTTGGTATAAAGAATATAGTATTCCATTTAAAATAATGAAGATAACCTTCAAATCTCTGAAAAACTTTTATCTATAAAGAAAATTAATGCACAACATAGTGTATACCTCGAAACCATACAACTTTGGTACACAATATTTTTGCATGAATCACATAGTTTGAAGGTTATAGAGATGCACGTGATGCCTGGACCACCCTGTATAATCATGCCTGGAGGAACTTCTCTTCTTCATTGCTGTGGGTTTATTATCGGTCTTGTTACCCCTCGGTAACCCCAAGAATCTTTTTAATCACGTTCTGCCAGATCTCCTAAGAGATATTCAATCGTGGGTTTACAGTTATCGTTGAATACTCCAATTCTTTTCACGACACTTTTGTCGACCGACTCCGATTTACATTTCTTTTCATTCACCAGTTGCTTTCTTCCATACCATTACAGTGGAGCTTAATTGTTTTACATTACCACAGAATTCTCGCAAGTTGCTATTAATCTCCGGCCATGATAAATTTATCTACTTCTTCCTCGCTTCTCTTCTTCTCACCATCCCCCCTCACTCTCTCTCTCTTTCTCTCGCTCGCTCCCTTTTCTTCTCTCTTCCACCTTTCGCTGCCGAATGGCAACCGCTAAAAGTACCGAACACATTCTTGGAACTTCTTAGCGTACCGAGGTACAGATATTCATGCAAATGGACTCCATATGGAGTCATTAGAGATAACGCGATTTTTTGAAAAAGCCAAGAGAAAACGACTCTCGCGAACGAGTCGACGGTAATAACGTTTTCGCCAGGAAAATCGCCGCCTGAGTTATGACGTACATGATAAAATTTCGATTAACGATTCATTTTAAGTAATGGACAGCATAAGATAACATGTTCGGGATGTTTGATTGGAAATTCGATTTGTTTAAGTAATTCCTGCGTCGATATATTATACTTCATTTTTTGGTCCAGTTTTAGAAACCAGTTCTTTTGTATCTGCAATTTCCTGCCACTTTTTGCGAATATTCGCACTGTTATATTACATGTATTTTTATTGATTGTGATTACGTATTATTCTCTTTTTACATAATTTCGTAAATACAAGCAAGGATATTAATCCTGTATAGAATGAAGTTTATTGAAATTTTACAAAGATTGGGAAGATCATCGAATTTTTTTACCATTGCTTTAATATACTTTAATATGCTTTAAAATGTGATGAAAATTTGAAAAAGCTTGATATTTTAAAAAATACGAATGATACCTGGTTTTACGTAAATTCAATGGATAAACAAATCTGTGTTAACACAGAATAGAGGAAATTTTATTTTAATTATTTTTAATTTTCGTTATGGAGTTCGTAGATCAAGTTAGGTGGAGAAATTTCGATTTTGAATTGGTATTTTGACATGTTTAAAATTTAGTGGATGTATAATAATTCGAAAATTGGAAATTAACGATGGTGCTAATTTTTCTGTTGCAGTGTGGGAGCATTCTTCATGCACAACTGGAAATTTGGAAGGCAGCCGTCGAGGAGTCTCCACGTAACACACTGGCAGCTTCCTGGGGTCCCACTGTTGTTCAGACACCGAACAACAACAGCAGCAACAACAACAATAACAACACGTCATCTACCATTGCAAACCCAGCGCCAGCCAGTGTCAAAGGCTCCTCTTGCAGCGTAGATTTCTCTGATGGTGAGTCGATCTTGAAATATTCCTTGCAATTTTTCACATGCATTGACTTTGCTTCTGGCATGCCAAGAGTTCTGTTTAAATTTATTCTTTTCAACAATATTCATTTATTACTCATCTTGACAATCGTTTTCCAAATTTTGTTAATCCATCGATTTAAAATCTTTTTTAACTGAATTATCGTTATCGTTATGCATGATAGAAATAATGATACTTAACACTTTTATACTCGGAATTCACTGTCTTATCGAAATCAAGCATAGATATTATTTATGCCATTTGAGAGGACAAGAATCTATTGTTGCCTCTGTTATATATTTTTCGAAATTCCGTGATCAAGTTCGAAGTAATATTTTCGCATATTATTAGAGGGAAAGAAATACGTGATTACGTAATAAGACAGGCTATACGTCACTTATGTGATTTTCACGATCGCCGGTACATTTGGCTTGGCTAACGTGGAAAAGGCAGCTATGTTCGCCTAACCATAAGTAAATATCAATATCCCAAATGCTGCATACTATTAGAAACCAGAATTCACGTACACACCTAATAATAGTACATTTTACTTGCTAATTTCAAGCCACGGGCAGCTCACAAATACATCAAGTTATTATCACAGTAGCGATAGCTCGCATTGCTATGGCTAATAAATTATCCTAGGCTGTAATAACCCGGGGAAACAGTTAGAATTCAAAGTAAACATTAATATGGTAATTGTAAATGATTTCTGCTCGCTGACTAAACACTATCATTTTTTATCGCAACAAACTTCACGCAGCTATTATCCATATCATCGCGAGCGATCAGAAATCCTTATCACTGCAGTTTATCACTGTCCTCGTGTACTCGCGATTAATCAATACCACACGGTGATAAACCGACAGAAAGAGGTATAATTACACATAAATATTAATATGCTAACCACGGGTACCCCCGTGGCTCATATATTGATCAAACATCGGAGCTTTCTATCGCGTCAAGATGCATGAACCTAATAATTACACCTGCTTTCGCAATCGACCAAGACATTCGCGTTGCACGCCAGACATCACAGCTTCCAGCTAACCTTATTCTTGAAAAAAATCATCGCGATCGTGAACACGCACGAATATGCTTATCAGGCAGCTAACATCTGGAATAAATTTAAAAATCACTGTAATCAATTAAAACTGACACGTAAAAATACGCGTGCCCAATAGCTAACAAGAATAACCGCAAATAATTAGCATAGTCATAGATACGCGTTTGCCAGTGTGATTATTGAATGTTTAAAATATCAGCTTGTTCTTACTCACGAACTAATGAATATTCTTACTGCTAATAATGGGAACAAAGACCAAGATATAAGCTTATACGCAAACACACGTGGAACATGATGCATATGCTTATGTACGAAAGAATTCGAACGCTTATACTTATTACTTTTAACGAGGGAAATTTTTACCTTGAAATGAAGTACTGTAATTTATGCGATACGTATAATAGCAAAGAAAAAGTTCGGAAATTACATCGATTAAAGTAGGAAATAATTGAACGATGTATTTGGTATTTATAGTTTCAATGTAATTACGAGACGCGGTGGCGCTAGTGAGTTCAATGCGAAACCGTCTTAGGACTGTCATAATCGTAAAATATGGATGGATAGTGAAACCTTTTATATTTCAATTAATGGTACTTTCTACTATTATTATAAAATATCTCAGAATATTATTGCGATCCATTTATGGTGTATTTTTGTCATAAACAATACTTCAACGGACGTAAAATTTCGAATACTTTTGTATACGAATGTGTGCAATTAGATAAGTTATGGAAAGAGCTAACCTAACAAACAAGCTTAAGCACAAACACATACGAATATACAGTCTAATTCATAACAAGAATAATTAGGAAAGAAAAGTCCATATGTTCATAACTTTCCTATCAATTAATTAGTAACATGAACCATTTAGAAAATTACGATAATGTAAAAACAAAAATGCATCTTTATTTAGTAGACAACATATTACAATAATAAATATTTCAGAAATATTTTATTCTTAAACAAAATTCTATCAGTTTAGAGAATCTAATACCATAATGAATCAGTTTCGTTTATAGTATAATAATATTATTTTTAAAATTAAAAATGACAGGATATCGTAAATATCTGGAAGAATTTTCAGAAAGTGCTCATACATGTCGAAGAAAATTCATGTCGATGAAAATTGAGACTTAAATATATAACATTTCATGAAATTCTAATTAAATATTCAAATTTATATTATGTAATTTTTTAAACAATTTTAAATATATCAATAAGTATAGTATAGTACATGTTATATACAATTCAATGAGAAATATGTAAATATACATAATTGTACACGTGTCATAAAAATTTAAATGTTTCTTCAAACAGTTTTAACTTCATTAAAAATAAAAATTGCATTTTGTTCTTAATAAATTAAACAAATTTTACAAAAAGGGTTTCGTTGGACATCAATTTTAACACCAACTAAATAATTGAACAAAATTGAAATTTCCAGTCTTTAATTAATTTCATATTGCACGAAATTTGAACGAATATTAACAGTCACGAAAAACTCTAAAATCAGGAATCTTTTTGCACCAAGCAAGTGCCTAATAAATTTTTTCATTATCGTAAATAATAACTTATGGTACTCGTTAACCCCGTCTCATCACCCACTTATCCCAAGTGGTTGCACGAAAAAAGTCACTCACGTAGTTCACCCTAAAATACTCGAGCATGGTTTTAATTCTGTCATCGAACTATTATATTTCCCACATATTTTCCACAATTTTAACACCAATTAAATAATCGAATAAAATAAAAATTTCCAGTCTTTAATTAACTTCACATTGCACGAAATTTGAACGAATATTAACAAAGTCACGAAAAACTCTAAAATCTGGAATCTTTTTGCAGCAAGCAAGTGCTTAATAAATTTTTCCATTATCGTAAATAATAACTTATGGTACTCGTTAACCCCGTCTCATCACCCATTTATCCCAAGTGGTTGCACGAAAAAAGTCACTCACGAAGTTCACCCTAAAATACTCGAGCATGATTTTAATTCTGTCATCGAACTATTCTATTTCCCAGATATTTTCAACTCCATTGCCATAGCCACTTAACACAGACAAACATTGGTCCGTAACTATCTCCCGTAACATTATCCCAAACACATAAACCCACGCACAGACCATTAACGAACACCCCGTATAGCTGTCAAACGATAACCAATAAAAACAAGCTTTGAGTGAGAACATGCTCGCAGACATATATCAACCGACCAATCAACTAACACGAAAAAACAAAGCTTCTATGCCAATTACCAAACTGCCCACACCTACCGCATAACCGATCGAAAGAAACACGTCATGGAGACATAACACCCGCGCGAGGAACACCCCCTGACAGGGTGCTGGATCACTGACAACCAAACGGAGGCGTATACCGGTTGGTGGCCGTTTCTTTTTCCAGAGGAGGACGAGGACTGCGGTTCGTCTCAGGCTGGAACAGGCGGAGGCGGTGGTGGCGGTGGTAAGATGCGTAACGGTGGCTCGCACATTCACCTCTGGCAGTTCCTGAAGGAGCTGCTGCAGAGCCCAGGTATCCACGGGTCGTGCATACGTTGGTTGGACCGCGGCAAGGGCGTGTTCAAGATCGAGGACTCGGTCCGCGTGGCCAGGCTCTGGGGCAAGCGAAAGAATCGGCCGGCCATGAACTACGACAAGCTGAGCCGTAGCATCAGACAGTACTACAAGAAAGGGATTATGAAGAAGACGGAACGTAGCCAGAGGCTGGTCTATCAGTTCTGCCATCCTTACTGCCTCTAAACCGGGTCCCGTTAAGCCTTTGCGCCCGCTGG